CGCGCCCCTAGATTTCTTGCATGACACGATCTCCCACCGTATGCGTCCACTGAACACTGAACCCAACACATTCGAGGTCTGGTTGGGCAGCTCGCGGGCGTCCCCGCGACCTCGGGTGCTGGCTGTCCCCCTTCTCGCCGTGGGGCGTCAGCTCGAAGGGGCAGGCGGCCTCGATGCCGTCGCCGTTGCACCGCACCTGCCGGGGGCTCTGGCAGGCCCCTCAAGCCCGGGCGTCGCGCGTGGATCGGGTCGGCAGGCTGTGCTGTTTTGATACAGTGCTGCGATGGCTTTTTATGCTGCTTGGCCTCTGGGGATCGTTCCCCGGCCCTGGGGCCGTCAGACGCGGCTCAGGACGAACGATTGCCCCTGGGGAAGGGGTCGAGATCCCCAGGGGGCCCACGCCACAAACAGAGTGCGAAGTCGGCAGGGAGCTGCCAGAAGCGTCCCTGGCCCAGGGTGTTCCCAAGATCTCCAGGGAGACGTCCGTGGCCTCCAGTGCATCAGTCGCGAGGCGACGAAGGCCCCTAGTGCTCCAAAGTAGAGCGCAAACCGGAGACACCTTGGGCCAGGGACTCGAGGCTTCGGCGTCAAGCGTCGAGGCATCTCCAGTATCCATAGTGCGAACCGAGCTCGCGGGATCCTGGCACCCAAGCGCCTCCAGCCAGGAAAACACGCGGTAGGTGGGAAGAGAATCCGCTGAGCCCGTGGGAATCCTTGGCACTCCCGCGGGACCCACCATCCAGGGAGCCCTCTCATCAATCTTTTCGAGGCGGCGTGGCCTGTCGGCCATTCTTTCTGAGCCTCGGGAGGGAAACTGGGGACCCGCAGAACTCTCGGGAGACCTTTGGGGAGGACACGAGAGGGGATGGTGGGTGTGGGGGAAAGGGAAGGAGAGGAAGGGAGAGGACGGAATCGGAGGGGGGGGAGGTCGAGGGGGAGAGGAGGGTGAGGTGGAGGGGGAGAGGAGAGGAGGGGAGCGGATTGGGAGGTGGAGGGCGAGAGGAAGAGGAGGTGGATGGGGAGAGGAGGAGGAGGAAGAGGATTTTTGTCATCCTCGAACAGCTCAATGAATTCAGTCGCCATGCTTATCTTGATGGCATCGGGAAGCTGCCGAGCAGCGTCTCCCGTAAAGGCACTCAGCGACGGTGCAGAGCCAAAGTCTGCCCGAGTTCTGCACAGAGGGGCTATCGCTGACCGCGCCGAAGGAAGGAGGTGCCTTCAACGAGGAGCGCCCGCGCACACGCGTGCACGCACGATCTGCCCGCTGCGGCATGTGAGCCTCTGGCTCGGATGACTGGGAGGCGGGTTGTCCTGGTCGCAATCCGATGCGATGCTCACGCTGGAGATTTGCGACTCTCTATCGGGGGAGAGATGCGGCCTGCCGAATTGAACGCTTCCCCGTGCGGGAGCCGTTCTGCAATCGCATGCGGGAGCCGCTGCCTGGATCAGATGCGGGGGCCGCTCCGCAACATCACTGAGGGGCCTCGTCTTCGCCTCGCTTACCATGGCTCGCTTGATAGTTCAAAATCGTCCAATCAAACACGAAATCGTACTGATAGCCCTCGCGGAAGAACAGGTCTTTGAGAAGGCGGCGCAGGTAGGCGTAGTCGGGGCGGTCCTCGAAGCGCAGGCTGCGGCAGTAGTTGAGGTACGTCACGAACTCGGCGGGAAAGTGTTTGCACAAGACCTCGATCGGTGTAGACATCTTCTTCTCCATGATCTTCTCGTACTTCTCCTTCTTGGAGTTGGCCTTAAGGCCCTGCCATGGCAGGCTGCCGCGGTTGAAGTACATCAGCACGTACCCCACCGCCTCCAGGTCGTCACGCCTGCTCTGCTCGATGCCGAGGTGCGTGTTCACGCTCGCGTACCTGGCAGTGCCTGTCAAGTTCTTGCCCTCGTGGTACGGGATATGCTGCTGGGTCTTGGTGTCCCTGTACTTTTTGGCAAGCCCGAAATCGATGATGTGCACCTGGTTTGCCTTCTTGCCCAGGCCGATGAGGAAGTTGTCGGGCTTGATGTCGCGATGGATGAAGTTCTTGGCGTGGACGTACTCCACGCGGTTGATCATCTGGTCCGCGAGCATCAGGACCGTCTTCAGGCTGAACTTCCTGTTGCAGAAACTGAATAAGTCCTCGAGTGATGGGCCGAGCAGGTCGATGACCATGACGTTGTAGTCGCCCTCCACGCCGCGCCAATGCACGTTCGGGACGCCGACGCCGCCCGCGAGGTTCTGATACAACTTCGACTCGAAGAACAACTGCGGGTACCTAGACTCTTTCGACTCAAGCTTGATGGCAACCTCCTCACCGGTCGTCACATTGGTGCCGATGTAGATATCTCCGAATGACCCCGAGCCGATCTTGCGGCCCAGACGGAACTTGCCTCCGACGCTGACGCGCAGCTCCATGTCCATGTTTGTTGGCCCAACGGGCCGCGGTCCACTGAGGTGGACTGCCTCCTGGATTGGATGGGAAAGGGGGCGCGGCGGTTTGCCACGCGAGGCGCTCGCCCAACAAGCCCCATCTTGCGACAAAGGGGCTTGAGCCAAAATGGCTACGGAGGAGGAGGAGGAGGAGGAGGAGGGGGAAGGAGGAGGAGAAGGAGGCTACGTTCGACGATCTCTGTAGCCACCACGAACCAGAAGGAGGAGGAGGAGGCGGAGGAGGAAGAGGAGGAGGAGGAGAAATAGGAGGCGGAGGCGGAGAAGGTACGGCAACGGCCGGAAGCCCCGGGGTGCTCTCTAAGCTGCCCAAGAAGGCCGCCGTCGACTAAAACCTCTCGACGGGGCTGCCCGTCGGCACGCGCCGCGGGGGAGAGGTCTGACGGGGGTGTCGGCCTTGAGGGAGGACCGAGACCTTCGGCCTGCACCTTCCGCGCCTTCCGCGCGGCAGGTGCCGCCGCGGTCGCGGCGGCCGCCGCTGCGGACTCGACGGTGGCCGCCGCTGCGGTCGTGGCGGCGGCTGCGGCAGCGCGGCACCCACCGCGCGGAAGGTGCGGAAGTGCAGGTCGAGGGGATCAAGCTTCGGGCTGCGCGCAGGCAGTCCCTGCAGGTAGCCCCGGCTGGCCTCAGCAGGCCCCCCGAGAAGGCCGAGCTGGCCTCAACTTCAACAGGCCCCCCGAGTGGTCTGGGGCGGTCTCAGCACCATGACGCCGCCTCCGGAGGCGCCCCTGCGGCGCTCCGCGCCCCAGGGTGGAGGTGTTGAGACCGCCCCAGGCTACTCGGGGGGCCTGTTGAGGCCAGCTGGGATTACTACCCTCTGCGAAACTTAAAGCAAGTTTTGCCGCCCCCACTGCCCCCCGATTTCAATGTTCAGTGGCGCGCGCGGCGCGGTCAGCTGACGCCGACGATAAATACGAGGTCACTTATCTTGTCTGGGGGCGCAAGCATGGCGCAGGCAAAACTTGCCTCAAGCTTCGCGGAGGGATGCAGGGCAGGGCCTGTTTCGAAAAGGAGATCGACTAAATAAGTTATTTACCCGACAGTTGAACTTTTCCTCGGATCTAGTAGCAGTGCGTTGGATGTTCGCAGATCTGCAAACCTTATACCTCTGTTTGTAGATTCTACGGAATTTCACTTTGGGGGAACATCAACTCTGTAGTCGATCTCCTACTCAACTGTTGCGGCCAGCCCGGACTACCTGGGGGGCCTGTCTGCGCGCAGCCCGAAGCCTCACCGAGGAGACTTCGGATGGGCTCCCCAGCGGAGAAGCGACTACGCAACCTCCGAATGACCCTGCCATGGGCAATCGGTTCGAAGCGCTGCTCGTACCGGGACGCTTGCGGGCCGTCAAGCCCGATTCTATCATCTCAAGCTGGATTAGCGCAGATTCGGCCCAGGACTGAGCCCGATTCGGCCGGACTCAGCAGGATTAAGCGCGCGTCGTCTCCTGCCCCCGCTCTTCGACGGGGGAGGCTCCACATCGAACCGCATCGTCGATGCATCGGTGATGCGGCGCGATCCTCCGACCCACTTTACTCGGACACCATCAAGGAGGCCTAGATCCACGCCTTCGGCGCCCCAGACGTCTGGACCCCTTCCCCAGGACTGGCTTTTGAGGCCGGGTCGTCTTGTCCGCGGTCCCAGGGGCCCTGCAAGGGCTCGTGGCAGAGGCCAACACGCAACCACGAAGCAAGCAAACACGTAGTGCTGTTTTCAAGACGCATGCGGACGGTGCCACTGAGACCTGCGGTGGAGCTCCCTGGAGGACCACGAAGCGTGTGAGAGGTGTAGGCCAAAACAAAATCATGCGGGGGGCAGGGGCAGGGATGGGAGGAGGGGCGGCTGTCTCTTCAAAACGAGGGGCGCTCTCTCTTTGAAACGAGGTAGGGATGGAAGGAACGCGGGGCGCTGTCTCTTCAAAACGAGGACCCAACACCACAACTGTTTTACGTCGCGCCGCGGCAGAGGCAATCCGCACGCGCGTTCGGACAAGCCGGGCAACGGCATCGCTAATTGTCCGGGGGCGTCGCGGATTCAAAACGAAGAGCCAAAACCAAGGGATACTTGAGAAAACACGTCGTGTGTTTTCTCACCACGCGAGGGGGTCCGGGGAGAAGGAACAGCACCCCTCCACGTATCCCGGCTCCTCATTCGCCTGCCCGTGGGGGTCGAACTTCTGGGGGGGTCAAAGCCAGCGAGGGGCAGACCGAGAACAAGCGCTCTTCCGAGAAGCACGAGCGGCCCGGGCGAGGACAGCCCGAAGGGATCACCCGTCGAGGGAGCACGGGCAGGAAGCCCAGGCTTCTGAGACGAGTGCGGCCCCGAACCACTCTTCCGTTGCAGCGCGGCAGAGGCGATCCGCACGCGCGCTCCAGTGAGCCGGGCTACACCCTGCGAAATGCTTAAGAAATCATGGGTTAAGAAATTCAGAGTCTCAGAACTAAACCCAACATTCCGATTACAATCTCAAAACTTACATTGAAACGTTAAGAATAATCGAGACTCTGGCCGCAAACTTAAGTTTTCTTAAGCATCGCCTAAGGTGTATGGCAGGCACCCGTTACGCGTTCTCCGGTGGCAAGGAGGGTGGGGGCACGAGGCGGGGCGCGGCCGCGCAGCGCGGCCGAGGAGGGAGGGCGCTCACAGCACGAAGGACCTCGACAGAGCGGCCCCGAGCAAGGATAACGAAAGGAATTGAGCTCACCTTTCCTTAGGTCGGGCATGTCCTCCTGCAGGCGGATGTCGCAAGAAAAATGTAGCAGAGCCAGACATATGCAAAGCATGCCCAAACATGGCCAAAGTATCGTGCCCAGACGGTGCTTTTTTCAACCATTTTTGCAGGTTCCTCCTCCGGAGGGACCTGCCCGTCTCAAACCCTGCCCTGGCCACCCAAGGGCTGACCCCCCTAACCGGCCTCGCACTTATCCCTATCCCTCAGATGGGCGAGCAAAAAGCGAGGACAATCTTAGGGATGTGCCCTCAGAAACCGATGGAATCCTTAAGATCGGCATCGAGGTGAGGTGATGCCAAACACAGGGATAAGGGTATGTCTCAAACTGGTACCTCCCCTGTCAGCAAGCAGAGGAGCTCCCTTCCTGGGCCCCCGTCGGCAGGCCCCCCCCCTCCCCCTGCAGGCGCGCCGCGCCCCGCCTCGACCAGGCCGTCGCGGAGCAGCGCCACGGTGAGGAGCCCGAAGGCATACAGCACGACGATGGCCAGCACGCCGACCCACATCATGCCCGCCATCGCCTCGGAGCCCTCGACCCCTCTCCTGGGACCGTCGCGAGACCGCCTCCTGCAACCCTCGGCGAGAAGCAGCGTCAAGAGTGGTCGACGCCCCCCTTGCACGTCGCCGCCCTGCAGGAATGGTGTTCTGGGAGCACGAAGAACACGAAGTGTCCTACAGTTGGCTCCGGGCATTCAAAATGTGGCCTGGGAGTGGTGTTCTTGGAAGACGAAGAACACGAAGTGGCCTACAGTTGGCTCTGGGCATTCAAAATGTGGCCTGGGAATGGTGTTCTGGGAAGACGAAGAACACAAAGTGTCCCTCCCTTGCCGCCCCTCCCTTCCACGTCGAAGCTGACCAGAGCGCGGTCTGAGCGGGTGCGGCTCGGAAATTCCACGACGGCTGACCCTGGAGAGGCATCCGGCCCAGAATGCCGACGCGTTGGCCCCTCGAGCCCTCGACCGTTGCCCCTGGACCGTCCCAAGATGGCCCCCCACAATCGGCGGCCCCCAGCGGTGTGGTGACCACGCGGCGGGGTGAGCCCGTGAGGATTCAGAGTCACCGCGCGGCCTTGCGACGCGGGCCGTTCTCCGAGGACGCCGCGGGCGCCCGGTGCCTCCGAGGTCCCAAGGCCGCGCGGTGACGGACCGCGCGGTGAGGTTTCTTGGAATTTCGGGGTCACCGTGCGGTCCGTCACCACACGGGTTTGGGACCACCGAAGGCAGGGAGTCTGCGTGCCGACTCTGGTGCCGGAGCGGTCTCCTGAGGGGCAGACGTGCGCACGGCAAGCAGGAGAAGGGCATCAGGTAAGACGCGTCCAGGGAGGGCAGCTCACGCATCCGACGAGCCCCTCCATCTCAGACGAGGTCGCCCGATGCATCGTTTGGCTCCTGTCCGAAACTACGACGTCCAACTCGGCATCGTTTTGCTCCATTCGTTCTCTGTGTCGAACGAGATGCAGCGTAACGATACAATTTCGGAGGTCCGCGCGGACTTCCCAGACCGGCACTGGACACTCGGTCCCTGGCGTGCGGGGCGCGCCTGGGGGCGGCGCCCAAGGCGCCGCCAGAGGGGTGCTGCATCCGCGCAGACTTCCTGGATCTATGTTTACCTATCGGTCGGAAGAAGTGGGTAGAAACATGAAGCAGGAAGGCATTGAAAGTATGCTGAATCTCCGCCCGCTCCCTGAAGACGGAGGAAGTGGGAACATCTCTCGAGCCTTGACTCGGGTCGGGCAAAAGGGGGGGATAGCAAAGGGGGGGTTTGAGAATCAGCTCACGTAGCTGATTTTCCCGGCGCCTCCCGGCGCCGGGAGGCGCCCATGTATCGAGGAATGGGCCCCTCGGTGAGGCCGAAATCAGCTGCATGCAGCAAATTTCGTAACCCACCCTTTCCCAATCCCCCCCTTTCGCCCGGTCCGATTGACATAGCAAGGCGCCTAAAATAGATGGAACGATCAGGGCCCAGACATGCACACTCTCAACGACTTATGGTCATGCTGCTCCTCTCCCTCTGCTTCGAAGACATGCCTTACGATCCGCGCCGATCCGTGATCAGATCCTGATCCTGGCCGGGCTGGCCCGACCTCTCCCCGAGCGCGGCGCACCCCGCAGATCAGAGGCCCGCCTGGCCTGACCGACCCCGACCGATCGACGGGCCCGACCGGAGCGGGGGCCTGGCCGAGTCCTGAGGATATCGGCTCCCCTTTTAGGAGACAACTCCTGGGAGGTCTTCGTCAGAATGAGGAAGGGCTTTTCAACCCGAGTCAAGGGCCATTGGGCCGGATTAGGCCAGATCTTTACCAAGATTCAACCGAATCAAACGGGAATAGGCCGAACCGAACGGGATTGAGCCAGACTGAGCGGGATTAAACCCGATTGGGCCAGTTTCCGACAAGGGGAATACCAGCGCCGATTCTCAGCTTGACCTCCCACGAGTTGCAGCCGAAGGGCTCCTCTGGCACCGCTGCATGCTTAGCTCCCTGGAAGTTTCCGAATCATTTTGGCTTTTTATGGGCCTCCGCGGAGGCCCCGACCCTGGGGCCGTCTGACGCCGTCGCGTGGGTGATTCCCTGGAGGAGGTTGAACAAGGGCGGGATGCTCTTGATGAGCCGCAGCAGGCGCAGGATGCGAAAGAGCCGGAGGATTCGCAGGACGCCTAGGAACTGCGTGATGGATGACCCATGGCCCTTGACAGTCATGCCCAGCATTGACTTCACCATCTTGATCGTGGGCAGTAGCCACAAGTCGGTGACACCAGAGCCGACGATGAATGAATCGAAATAGTTCCAGACCCGGTCCGTGGGGCTGCACAAGAAAGCCAGAATTCCTGCTTGCTTCGCACGGGCTGCGAGCTCGAACGCGAAAATGAAGAGAACTGTCTGCTCCCAAAAATACCAAATACTCAAGTCTGGGTAGTCTGTCTGGAAGCCCATCATCAAGCTACTGACCGCGATCACGCCCATTATGAAGGCCTGGAAGGTGTCACTTTCTGTCCACGCCAGGTCGGCCCGCATGAAAACATTGAAAAGCTTCAACATTCGGGCCAGCCGCAGAATTTTCAGTGAGTCCAGCAAGACAGCACCCCCTCCCTTGGTGGCGCTGCCGCGCAGAGGCTTCATGCAAAGATCTACCACTCCACCAGCAACAATGATCACGTCCAGCCAGTTTGAGAACACCTGAGGAGGGATCCCAATCTAGTTTGGATCACTCGCTGCTAGAAATACTAGAGGAGGGATCTTAATCTACCACTGAGGAGGCATCTAATTCTACTCTGCTTGGAACACCTGAGGAGGGATCTTAATCTAGTTTGGATCACTCGCTCTCAATCTACCACTCCACCAGCAACAATGATCACGTCCAGCCAATTTGAGTCTGGACCACTCGCTGCTAGACATGCTCGGCCGTCGAACTCGATCGCCACGGCCCGTGAAGGGTGCGTCCCTTACACTCGGGACCCGGCCTTGCCACCGTGGTGGCCTTCGGATTGAAACCAGCATGTCACCAACGCCACATCGCTGTGAGACACCCCGCTCTCACGACGTGCTTTCTGTCAGGCATGCCCGTGCCGCCCACCTCACACACGCACACGCACACGCACACACCAAGCACGGACACAAACAGGCATGCCAACATGCACGCTCGCACGTGCGCAGACAGACACATGCAAACAGCCCACCACACCGCAGCAACACAACACACCACGACATAACTCGACTGAGCCCAACGCAACTCAGCACAACGCAACACACAACACCATACAGCACGAACACCCCACGCACGCAAACCTGCACAAACACAAACACACGCCCAAACGAACGAGCAACCGTGCAGGTGCCAATGCACGCAATCACGCAAATGGGCACACATGCACACGCACACACACACAACCGACATCGCAACGCACGCACATGCAACCATACAACACAACACAGCACAGTGCAGCACGGCACGCGCAACGATACGACCAATGCCAAGACCAGGATCAAGGCCACAGATAACGAACGCACCGACCGCACAACGCATACGCACATAACGCACATAACACACACACGCACACGCACACGCATACGCAAACGCACACGCACACGCGCACGCACACGCACCCACTCACACGCACACATCCATACGCACACGCACACACCCATTCACACACATATCCACACATACCAATTCATGCACACACATTCGCGCATACACATTCACACACGCAGCCACACAAGACACACACACACTCACGCAGGCATGCACGCACACAAACACACACACACACCTACGCAAACAGACATACACACACCACAACACAAAAGACACACACCACACATTGCACGCAACACACAAACGCACATACAGACACACAACTCATCAACACACACATACGCACACAACATACAATACACACAACTCACCAAACACACACACACGCACACACACACACGCAACGCACAACACACAACACACCCAACACACATGAACACATACACATAGACAAACTGCGCGCACGCACACTTTTCCTCCGACGCGCTGAGGAGTCCAGTTAGCGGGTGCCAGATTCGCAACACGCATCCGCACAATACGCGTTGTACTTTTGTTGCGGGGGGGGGGGGGCGTCGCGGCCGTGCAAGTGGCGACACGGCGAAGTCAGACAATCGGGAGCGGGTGCGCGCGCGACCCTCACGCAGCGCCAGGCGAAGTGACGCATGGCTCACTCATAGGGAGCCACGTGCGTGGGGACTCACCGGGGGGCCAGGCGTAGGAGTGGGCGAGCAGCGGCAGCAGCATGGCCGAAGCCAAACAAGCACGGTGGACAGACGCGAGGCAAAGGGAACAAGGCAGGGAAAGGCGTACCGAGGACGGCAAGGGAGCCAAAGAGGCCCGGAAGACGAGCAGGGCGGGCGACAACCGGCGAAGAGGGGAGCACACACACACACACACCCACACCCACACCCACACGCACAAACGTACCCACACCAACACACCCACACACCCCAACACCCACACATCCACACACATGCCCACACACATACCCACCCAAACAAACAGACGGACAGACAGACTGACAGGCAAACCGACAGACAAACAGACAGACACGCACACGCACACGCACACGCACACGCACACGCACACGCACACGCACACGCACACGCACACGCACACGCACACGCACACGCACACGCACACGCACACGCACACGCACACGCACACGCACACGCACACGCACACGCACACGCACACGCACACGCACACGCACACACACACACACACTACACATGCCACACACCACACACGCACGCACGCAAGCACGCACGTACGCGAACACACGCACACACACACACACACACGCACGCACACACACACACACACGCACGCACACATTTTTTGGCGATCGCGGCCTCTCGCGCAGCGACGAAGGGAAAGAACACGCACACACACACACTCACACACGCACGCATGCACACACACAACACACAAGCACAGACACACACACACAACACGCACAACACACGACATACACCAGACACACCACACAACACATAGACAGACAGACCAACAGACAAACATACTGACTGACACACAGACACAAAGACACACAACCCCCCCCCACACACACACACACACACACACACACACACACACACACACACACACACACACACACACACACACACACACACACACACACACACACACACACACACACACACACACACACACGCACACGCACACACACACACACAAACACAAACACAACAACACACACAAACACACACACACACACGCACGCACGCACGCACGCACGCACGCACGCACGCACGCATGCATACACGCACACACGCACACACATACAAACAAACACACTTACAAACACACGCACACACAGACATACACACATCCCTCGCATATATATATATATATATATATATATACATGTATCGCTCGCACACGCTGTTCCCTCCTCCGCAACGGTGTACCAACGGCTGGTCGCGACTTTTCGTGGCACGCCTTAATGATTTCTTATCGAACGCGCGACGACCGCGCTCACACCAACTTGCTCTCCCATATGGAGAGGGAGCCGAGGCCACCGGTGCAGCGCGGAAAGCAGCAGTCGAGTCATGAGGCGGGCTGTGCACGCGAGAAAACATGGGCGACGCCCGCGCGCCACATCCGGCGGACTGGGATGCGAATGCCAAAAAAATACCGGCGCGCGAGCGCAGCCGGAGCCCACGGAGCGAGCCTGCGCGTGCACGCGCCGCAAAAACGCGCAGCACGCCACTGGCAGCGCGCAGACTACACACACACACACCGCGTCACGCACCGCACACATCCGACAACAAACGCACGCACATGGCGTACACGACAATTGGGACTGATGCACGAACGCACACCTCAGCGTATACGTACGCAGCCAAACACGCTCACACACGCACAAACACATGCGCTCAAACGCGCAGTTTTACGTCGCAGCGCGGCAGAGGCAATCCGCACTCGCGTCTGGGCGAGACCAGGACACGGCGTCGCGAATTAGCCCAATGCAAATGGGTGGGAGGGCGGCGAGGGGGCGGCCGCCGAGAGGCGAGCCGGGATGCGGGGGCACTCTCACGCAGCGGGGCTGCGGCGAGCGCGCGGGGGGCGGCCGGGCTGAAGGGCAGACCCTGGCAACTGCCGCGGGGCGGCGTCGCACAAACACGCATACTGGGGAAACCGAAAAGTACCGATACCGCTACTCCCCGGACCTCTCCTGGGGTGCGTTCTGACCGGGTGGTAACGAGGGCCTCCCAGGAGGCCCACAAAGCGGAAAACGGGCGGAGGGTAGCAGTATGGGTACCTTTTCCCCCTCTGACATACAGGCACACTCATACAAACACAAGCGTACATGCACACGCCTACGCATACCCCCCCCCCGCAGACATGTCTGTCCCTGGGCTGCGCCCGCCCCGGGCAGACATCCAGAGAGGGAATCTCCAGCGGGAGTGACGAGGAGCCTCTCCCGGAGGCCCAAGAAGGCCTGAGGACGTCCAGAAACCCTGACATCCTCCGTGCAGGAGGGAAGCGACGGCCACAGACGCGACGGCGACGGCGAGCGGCGACGAGGACGACGGAGGAACGAGCGCAGCGACGACGGACGACGACGGCGGTGGCGGCAGCAGCCACACAAGCAAGCCAGGCGGAGGGGGAGCAGGAGGAGAACTCGTGTCAGAATTAGTTTCGTACAGTGGAGGCCAGTCCACAAGAAAACGTCCACAAGAAAACCTACCCTGAGACTCCAGGACGTCCACAAATTTTCGGTGTGGGAACGTCCCGCTTTCAATAGCAAAGTCGTCGAAACCCAAGAAACCCAAGAAACCCAGGGAACCCTGGAGGCAAGCAGGGTGGGTTTCCTCCGTATTGATTCGGGCAATCCGCGGCCCCCAGAGCTCCCGCCCCCTTCTCCGTGGGCAGTTTTGCGCCCCACATCTATGTTTGATGGCCCAGGGGCCCGTCCACGGACCCCTGAGGCCGAAATTAGGGAAAGCGCCAGGGAAGAACAAATACCAGGAAGCTGGACGCACACACACACACATACACATTTACACACACGCACGCACGCACGCACGCACGCACGAACACACAGACACACAGACACAGGCACAAGGACACACGGACACACGGACACGCGGACACATAGTCACACAGACACCCACACACACGGACACACACACACACACACGGACACACCGACACACAGACACACAGACACACACACACACACTTACCACAGGCTTACCACACGCACACAAACTTACACACTCTGAAACACACTTACATAGCACACTCACACATACACACTTACACACACTTGCACACACGTGGCGTGACTCACATGTGAAACGTCCAGAGGCCCCATGCTGGATACTCATGCGGAAGGCTGGCCTGCACGGTCCCGGAGGGGCCGAGCGCTGAAAGACATCTGGCCACATGCATATCCACCTCTGGTCCAGGCCAGCAGCGTCTGGGGAAACCAGAAGATACCGATACCGCTTCTCCCTGGACCTCTCCCCGGGGATGCGTCCTGACCAGAACTTCGAAGCGAATCCAGCCGTGATGACGAGGGCCTGCCAGGACAACTCAAAAGGCGAACACG